GCCATCTCCTTGCAGCAAAGAAAATCCTACGATATCTAAAAGGAAATCCTAACTCTGGATTATGGTATCCAACAAATGGAAATTTTGATCTATATGGATATTCAGACTCAGACTTTGCTGGGTGCAAAATTGACAGAAAAAGCACCTCTGGAACTTGTCAAATGATTGGAGGAGGACTTGTTTCTTGGTTCAGTAAGAAACAACACTCAATTGCCACAAGCACTGCTGAAGCAGAATACATAGCAGCAGGCAGCTGCTGTGCACAAATACTATGGATGAAGCAGCAATTAAAGGATTATGGAGAAGAAACAAAGGAGGTCAGCATTCTGTGTGACAACACAAGTGCTATTGCAATAACTCATAATCCAGTCTTTCACTCAAGAACCAAGCATATTGAGATCAGACACCATTTCATCAGAGAACATGTTGAGAAGAAAACCATTAGATTGGAGTACATCCCCACAGAAAAGCAGCTAGCTGACATCTTCACCAAACCCTTAAATGAAGGCAGGTTTAATTCTCTAAGACAAGACCTAGGGATGCTTGATGATCTGGATCAAAGTAGAGAATAAAGTCTGCAACAACTCAGGGGGAATTCCACTCAAAGAACTCAATTATAAGGGGGAATTACCAAAAACATCAACTCAAAGGGAAAATGTACTCAAGCATCTAACAAAATGAGCATCAAAGAAGTTGGAGCACACAAAGACAAGGGAATGAAGCTCTATGGTCCTTATACAAAAGGTCTCAACTGTCTATCAGAAGACCCCAGATCAGAAGGTCTGAATACTATCAGAAGCCCTCAGATCAGAAAGCCTGTCTATCAGAAGACCTCAGATCAGAAAGTCTGTCTATCAGAAGACCTCAGATCAGAAAGCCTGTCTATCAGAAGACCTCAGATCAGAAAGCCTGTCTATCAGAAGACCACAGATCAGAAGGTCTGAATAACTATCAGAAGACCCCAGATCAGAAGGCTTGAATACTATCAGAAGACCTCAGATCCGAAATCTCTTAAACTACAACAGACGACTACCTCAACCAGAGCCCAGAGGTAGAATCACTTTAACAAAAGGAGTCAGGAATCTACGCATGCATGCAACTACGACACATGGTGATTCAAAAAAATCTTGGGAAGCAACATCATTAAATTGGTAAGCTCCTCCAACCAATTTTTCTCTTTTATCTATACTGATTTTATTCTTGAAAAGAACATCAAGCCGTAATTCCATTAATACGCCTTGATTTCTCAACCAAGAATCCCAAACGATGCATGCAAGTATAAATATCCAAGTTAATCCTCAAATAAACAAGCATCTTTTGCAACCATCCCTACTAAAAGATCCTCTTCAAACACACCTTAAGCCAAAACACTCTAATGGCACATCACAGACTCAACCTAAATCTCTCCTTAGGCCCCCCAAATGCTCCTGATAAATTCATCAGTGACCTAGAGTCATGGATAATATACACCACTGACAAGGATTCTCTCGACCAAGAAAGAAAGAGAGTCCTAAAGTGGAGGTATTGGAGACACGCTCCAATCGACCAACTTCTTCTTATGGCACCCCTCATCCCAAAAGAAGAAGAATTTGCTCTCCAATGGTTGGGAGCAAGCTCCATAGAAGAAGCCCTTTCCCAGGAACTCATTGAGAAGGTCTACAACCAAAAATTAGACCAACTCAAAAGAAATCGAAGAAAAAGAAAACTGGATGAAGGAGAATCATCTAGGAGACAGAACTAATCTAGGTTTGAGCTGCTGCCAAAAAGGGGGAAAATAGAATCTAGTTTATCTTTGTTTTATGTATTCAGAATCTAGTTTTTGTTTTGGCATCATCAAAAAGGGGGAAATTGTTAGGCCCCTCAGACTTTGATGAAATATAGTTTTGATGATGCCATCCTCCCTTGATGTTTAAATTCTCTATTCGATATTGAATGATCATTGTGTGAACTGAAATATGGTCCAAAAAGGAAGGAAGGTGACAAAATTAGGAATATATAAATTGTGTCACAAAATAAATATACTGGAAATATAAAATGCAATAAGGTAAATTCCTACCTTTCTAGGATATTCAAATCCAATCAGTATATTTATTTTTGGATTACAATTTTATTATTGTCACTAGTAAAATTGTGACTAATCTTACATGTACATCTTATGTACAAAATTAATTTTACTGGAAATATAAAATGCAATAAGGTAAATTCTTCTTTACCTTAAAAAGGATATTTAAATCCTACCAGTACAAATTAATTTTGTACACAAGAACCAGAGTCACAAATTTTACTTGAAAAGCTTTATAATCACGAGACACTCCAGAGTTGCCTGTGAAGACAAAATCCCACTAGATGGTGAATAGTGCGCAAAAGGTCTAAGGAATGGGTTTACATTTCCTGCAAAGCAAGTTGCTCCAATTGCGTCTGAAGATAAGCTGCTCCAACACAAGAAGACGAAAGTACAAGAAGCCTCAACGAAATAGATTAAATCCTCTCAACCAACGGAGGAGATTAATCAACCAGAGATGCCTATAAATTCGGGCATAAGCATGAGAAGAAAAACAAGCTCCTGAGTTCACTAAGCAGAGAAATCATACTACACAAAGAAGATATCTAGCAAAAAGAGAAAGGGCTCATTACATTCTGCTCTCTGCTTAGACTCATGCTTCACTAAACCTTCTAGAAAAGAAATCCTCATTGATACAATCAGAAAGTTTAGTTTTTAGTTGGAGGCTAGAAGTTTGTTTCATATTAAAACTGTTGTAAACACTTCTAAGGATAGCATCGACTAAGTCCTTAAGTGTGGTAGAATAGGATAGAGTACCTTTTGATCCCCACTGGATCAATCGAGAAAAACCTAAAGGATTGAGTAACTAGGAGTGGTGTGTACTCTCAGTGAAACATCTTGAAGTCTGAGCAAGTTGGTGATAACAGCCAGACGGTCACTAATTGTATTGGGCTGAATACTTTAGTGGAAATCCATCTGAAAGAGGATGGGACTGGATGTAGGAGGATTACACCACCTCTGAACCAGGATACATCTCGTGTCAATCTTATTTACTCTGATTCGAGATCATCAAAGGACCTCACACAAGAGTCTCTGACTAAAGATCATCAGAGTACCTCACTCAAGAGTCTCTGATTCAAGATCATCAGAGTACCTCACTCAAGAGTCTCTGATTCAAGATCATCAGAGGACCTCACACAAGAGTCTCTGATTCAAGATCATCAGAGGACCTCACACAAGGGTCTCTGATTCAAGTTCATCAGAGGACCTCATACAAGGGTCTCTGACTCTAAGTCATCAGAGGACCTCACTCAAGGGTCTCTGACTCAAGGTTACCAGAGGACCTCACTCAAGGATCTCTGATTCAAGGCCATCAGAGGATCTCACTGAAAGATCTTCAAAGCAGAGTCTCCATTCTCCTATTCACTCCAGTCACTAAAGATAAGTTGTCCTAAATACAAATACCCCTTCCCTCTTATCCTCTCATAAGAAAGTTACCATTCACAGTTAAAAAGAGGTCATAACTTCCGCTGCGATCCTAAATCTCTCAAAAGATTATAGATCATCATACCTATGAGGGAAACTCTTTAAAAATAGTAAAGGACTTTAAAAGTCTATTCACCCCCCCCCCCCCCCTCTAGACTTTTACCTCTATCAGGGACCATCAAATTTGTTCAAGGTATTCATCTTGGAGCTTTGGGCAGAAATCCGTAAAATGCATGTGAGACATGCAAATGTTGCATGTCTTGGCATCTTGAGCTTCCGAGTTTAAGATAAATCCCTTTATTAGAGAAGTCAAGAAGGAAATTTGACTCTCTAAGGATGATATGTTGGCATCCATATACTCATACCTCATGTAAGCTCCAGAAAATAGAAGAGTAAGATTTTTTTTTTTTTAATTTTTTTTTTGTTTTTGATTTTTATGAGATAAAATAAAAAGAAAAATAATTGCCTTTCCCCGGCAACGGCGCCAAATTTGACGTGCACTTTGTCGTGAGGTGCACTCAAAATAAATATCAATACGACACTAATACATAGTATAGCGAAGTAAGGTTCGTATCCACAGGGAAAGGAATATTTCTCTTTTTAATTAACTAGTAACAAAGGGGGGGTTTTAGATTTGATTTGATTTAATTAACACTAAGATGAATGACTTAAATGAGTTTAATTAATGAGAAGAAGACTTGGCTTTGATTTTATCCACTTAATGAAATGTTCGTCGATCCCGGTTATATCTTTAACTATCTTCCTCTCGAATACTCAATCGAGGAGTATATCCAGTTCATCGAGGGTAGTTATTACTAACGAGAAGCGTTCATTAATAAAACTTACTATCGAGTCAATATAGAACAAGCGCCGTATATTAAATTGATAGTAGCAATAAACTTAAGATGAAAACGATTGAGATTGATAACCTCAACACAAGCGGTTTATTGGTTTAATCAATATAATTAATTCCCCTTAGATTATTAACCATGAGATGCATGCATTAATAATCCAAGTTTACTACCATGAAAGGACCGAGTTAATAACAAGCGTATTAATCGACCGATTCTAGTATTAATTAATATATGAAACAAAACTAGTTGATCCTTTAAGTAATGTTAAAAATATTAATATGAAATATAAATAGGAATTAATTAATACTCAAGAAAGAATATTAAAGAAGATGAATCCTACTATAGTTAATATCAAGATGTTAACTAATTGTCATCTTAGTAACACTCCCCAATATTAACGTAGAGGAAGAAATAATTATTACTATAACTAATGTCAAGATGTTAACTAATTGTCATCTTAGTAACACTCCCCAACATTGATATAGAAATAGTATTTAAAGGAAGAATTAATATTCAAGGAAGAAGATTAAAGAGAATAACTCACAACTTACAAATTCATTAAGCTTCAAAGTAGCAAAACCAAGATGGAAGAGTTTAGATCCTCATTTGGAGACTAAACATACTATAAAAATATAAAAGAAATACTATTCTAAACTGAGCTTAAGAGTATGGAAGAAGGGATGCTTAAAAGTGAAGGAAAATGGGGCTATTTATAGGTGTTTTGAAGGTGCTGCACCGGATACCCGGCCGGGTATTTGAGATACCCGACCGGGTATTTGTCAAAATCAAATATTTTGCCCACAATTTTGTGTTTTCTGCACGTCTTTTTGTCCGGGTCACTTCATACCCGACCGGGTAAAGACTATACCCGACCGGGTAAGTCACCAAATCACATTTCTTGCATGATTTCTTGTTCCCTTGCACTTTCCTTTGATCTTGTAAGATCCCTTCCATGATCCTTTGTTGATTCTTGATTGTTTCTTGCTCAAGATGATTCTAAATTTACTAAATTACAACAAACTAGAAAAATAAAATGATTGCACCTTAAATGTGCAATTACCACAACAACACACCATAAAAAGTAATTAAAAGTAAAAATATAAACACTCAAAAATCAATGCAATCACAAGTCCCCGATGTCACGCCCCGGACCTACCCGGACACGTCAACAACCCGCCGTACAATACGAATAGTCAACCGCAGTCCAACACATTCATATTATACAAGGCGTCATGAATATCATTCACACATATAACATCCATAAACAAACATAATAAGTAATTCATAACACAACGGAAAACATTGTTTAAAACAAAGGCCACACCGGGCTATTCATGAGCACGCAGGCTCTATAGTAAAATATCCATGAGCAAATTTATTAATGTTTCAAATAGAATGGAGGAAGCACGAACCAAGTCTTCTCTCCGAGGAATCACTCGATCAACGAGCACAGGATGCAAGCTCTAGCCTCAACCTGAAATGGTGGTGGGACGCCCCCGAAGGGGTCAGTACTCTATACGGCTATAAAGTACTGGTGTGGCAGGCATCTAATAGATATACAACAAGTATTTCAAACACAAGACCCTCAAGTAGGGTGATAGTACATTATGATTGTAACCCTAAGTTACCCCGTTTAAAAATATACTTACTTTATATAAAAGTCAAGTAGTCGGCCCGTGGGCCCGTTTTCATTTGGAAATCACCATTCCCAACCCCGTGGCTATAAGCCACGACAACTCCTAGAGTCCAACCCTAGTACATGACCTTGTATTCTAGAGCTCGGCTCTACTACATCACCATACAATTCATATACCCCGGGTCAATTTCCTTACCTTGCGTTCTAGAGCTCGGCTCTATTACATCACCACGCAAGTCCTAGAGCTCGGCTCTAGCTATACAATACATAGACTCCAAGTCTACACCTTACATGCATTCTAGAGCTCGGCTCTATTACATCACCATGCATTAAGGTCCAATTCTCAAGCAACCCTATGCCTAGAATTGACATATCATTAAACTACTTTGGGTCATCCTTAAAGACTTCCCATAACTTAACCTTAGTTCCAAACTAAGTTATTATATACACTTGAACTATATTCAAGTACCTTTCATACAATCCAATCCCTAGGATCAATTTAATCAACAAGTTCCAATAATCACTAACTAGTATTTCAATACTATTAAGATTATTGTTATCATACCATCATCCTCATTATTTGTAATTCTCTACATATTTATAATTATGTAGCAGCAACTTAAGTATTCAATCTCAATACACAAATATTCATTTATGTATCCACATAATTCATACATGAGCAAAATGCCCATTTTCACAAAATAGTTCATTTATACCCATTTAATCTCATATTATTCATACCTTCTCAAATCATTTCAAATTTCATTCCTTGGCAACTATATCAATATTTCATCAATATATAATCATCATAATCCATGAAAAATTATGATTTAAGCATTTAGGTAATCTCATGCTTAACCTACAAGTTGTAAGCAATTAGATGTCAATCCTCACCTTAATTGAGCTTTAAACTTTTCCTTCTTGATCCAATGGTCAAGGCTTTGGTCAAGGTTGATTTAGAACTGATTCCTTGCTTAGAAATGAGTGTTAAACAGCCTCCTCCAGCTGCCAGCTCCACTCCTAACCGAATGACACGAAAACAGTCCCTAGAACGGGCGTTTTCCGGTTAACTCGTTTCCTAGTTTTCCAAGATTTGCTCTAGGTTAGTATCTAACCTTTACATCAATAAAATAACTTCATAAGGACATATTATACACTTTTAGTAGTGTATAATAGTCCCACCAATCGTTCATATCATTTGGAAAATGAAAAGGAAGGTTTTGGATTCAAACTTACGTTGAATACAAAACTGTGTTCTGCGAGGTTGCGTTTTGTTCGGACAATCTGGAAGCCTTCCACTACTCCGATTGATGCAAACCAGACCTCCACGGATTCCTCGTCTTGAGAGCTTTCTTTTGGTACCTTATACGCCTTAATTGGACGAGTAAATCTCAAGTTATGGTTCGAACAGTAAGAGCTTCGCACTAAAGAAAGAACCTGCGGACTGCTCTCCTTCTTCCTTCCCTTTTGAGTTGTGTGGATACCTTTGCTCTCTTATCTCTTTTGGGGGGTCGAATGGGGGGTTGTGGGAGTATACAAGAGCTCTCAATCATGTTACCAAGGCATGTGGAGTGGTTCCCAATTGATCCCAATCATTTTGGGGTCCAAAATATCTACCAATACTTCCAAAAAAAATGGGAAGATGGGTCCTATTGTTTTATCTTTTGTCAAAAGATGTCTTTTTGTACTCATCCTAATTTATTTAGAACAAGTCAACTTCCTACATCACATTATTGGTCTCCAATATGTGTAGGCTCATCTCAATAATTTACTTGATGGATATTATAGGAGGAAAATCCTACTCCCATTATTTAGCTCAATAATGCCAAAGATGGGGTTATAGGCATTTGTATTCTCCTTTAATCATTCTATCACTTATTTGACATTTGTCATACATATTATTGGACTACTAGCCGTGTGGGTCACTCCCGAGTGGATCCAGGACGCCATTCTCGAATACTTGCTATTTTTAGCAGGTTGGGCCCAAAATGAGTATTCGCCAGCCCGATACTAATATACGAGTTCGAACAGTATAATAATCGGTCATTAATTACGTAAAACATTAATCGTTTAACAAATGTTTGGAAATCAGAAATCCAATACATAAACTTAAAATTTTAAATCAAATTTTCAAGGACCTTCGGGAGCGGTGTCACAAGTTCACCCCCCCTTAACAGGAATTTCGTCCCCGAAATTCACAGCTCTACTCAAATAGGAATGCATACTGCTTCCTCATCAAAGCTTCTGTTTCCCAAGTCTCTTCTTCGACCCGGTCACTTTTCCAAAGGACTTTAACCATTGGAACTTCTTTACTCCTCAGTTTCTTCACTTTTCTGTCAATAACTCTTACCGGTTGCACGGCATAGTTCAAATCTTCACGTACCTCCACGGGCGGCTTCTCCAACACATGAGAAGGATCATGCACATACTTCTTAAGCATGGATACATGAAACACATTATGTATCTTCTCTAACTCAGGAGTCAACTGTAGACGATATGCAACGGCTCCCATCCTCTCTATAATCCTAAATGGACCTATATATCGTGGGTTAAGTTTTCCTCGGGTTTGGAACCGAATGATCCCTTTCCAAGGAGAAACCTTCAAGAATACCTCGTCATCAACCTTAAACTCTAAGGTTCTTCGACGCTTATCTGCATAACTCTTTTGTCTATCCTGAGCCGCCTTGAGTCTCTCTCGAATTAACTTCACCTTTGATTTGGTGACCTCCACCAACTCAGTACCCTCGAGTTTGGCCATGCCAACTTCGTCCCAGCATAACGGTGTACGGCACCTCCTCCCATACAATGCCTCGTATGGAGGCATGCCGATGCTTGCCTGATAACTGTTGTTATAGGCAAACTCCACAAGTGCTAAGTGGTTGTCCCAACTCCCCTGGAACTCCAATGCACAAGCCCTCAGCATGTCTTCTAGGATCTGTATAACCCTTTCAGACTGCCCATCCGTCTGTGGATGGAAAGCAGTGCTGAACTTCAACTTCGTTCCCATAGACTCCTGGAATTTCGGCCAAAAACGTGATGTGAATCGTGGGTCTCTATCAGATACAATGGTCACCGGGACCCCATGCAGCCTCACGATCTCATCCGTATACAATTTGGCTAACCTCTCAAGTGGGTAGGTAGTGTTGATAGGCAAGAAGTGTGCACTCTTTGTGAGCCTATCCACAACGACCCAAACCGCGTCATAGTTCCTGATAGTCCGTGGTAAGCCTACCACGAAATCCATAGTCACGTGCTCCCACTTCCATTCAGGGATGGAGAGTGGTTGCAATAAGCCTGCTGGGTGCTGATGTTCTGCCTTAACTTGTTGACAAGTAAGGCACCGACTGATGTACTCGGCTATTTCCCTCTTCATTCCAGACCACCAGTAACTTTCCTTCAAATCACGGTACATTTTCGTGCCCCCCGGGTGCATGGCATAAGCCGATGAATGAGCCTCCTCTAAGATGGACTTTCGGAGCTCATCATCTGACGGTACACACACACGGTCACGAAATAACAAGAGACCATCATCTCTTTCCCTGAAATCCTCCACCGGCCCCGCTTGCATGCGTTCCCGGACCTTCATAAGTTCTTCGTCGGCTTCCTGACCCTTCTTGATCTTATCAAGTAAAGTGGGTCTCACCTCAAATCGTGCCAATAAGGCACCATCGCTGGTTACCTCCAGTTGGGCTCTTAATGCCCTCAAATTAGTTATCAATGCCCCAGACGAGCTCTTCCGGCTCAAAGCATCTGCCACCACGTTTGCCTTGCCTGGGTGATACTCTATCACTAGATGGTAGTCTTTTATCAGCTCCATCCACCGTCTCTGTCTCATGTTTAGCTCTTTCTGAGTAAACACGTACTTCAAGCTCTTGTGATCAGTGTATATGTGACATGTCTCCCCGTAGAGATAATGTCTCCATATCTTCAGTGCAAATACCACTGCCCCGAGCTCCAAATCATGAGTAGGATAATTCACCTCATGCTTCTTCAATTGTCGTGAAGCATAGGCGATTACCCTCCCATTCTGCATCAGTACACATCCAAACCCTTGGATGCTTGCATCGCTATAGACATCGTACCCCACACCCTGTTTGGGTAATGCAAGTACCGGTGCCTCGGTCAATCGCTTCTTTAGTTCCATGAACCCCTTCTCACATTTGTCATCCCATACAAACTTAGCTCCTTTACGAGTGAGCTTTGTCAATGGTGATGCCAAAACAGAGAACTTCTCCACGAACTTTCTGTAGTAGCCTGCCAATCCAAGGAAACTACGAATTTCCTTGACGTTCTTTGGCCTCTCCCATTCGGTAATGGCTTCTATCTTCTTGTCATCAACAGCAATTCCCGATCCCGAAACCACGTGCCCGAGGAAGCCAATCTCCTTTAGCCAAAATTCGCATTTAGAAAATTTGGCATAAAGTTGCTTCTCCCGTAGTGTCTCTAGAACAAGTATCAAGTGCTCCTCGTGCTCTTCTTCACTCTTTGAGTAAATCAAGATGTCATCGATGAACACAATCACGAATCGATCCAAGTATTTATGGAATACTCGGTTCATCAAGTCCATGAATGCCGCTGGGGCGTTTGTTAACCCAAACGACATAACAAGGAATTCAAAGTGCCCATACCTTGTGCGAAAAGCACTTTTTGGTTGTCATCTTCCTTAATCTTCAATTGATGGTAACCCGACCTCAAGTCAATCTTCGAAAACACGGTTGCTCCTCGTAGTTGATCAAACAAGTCATCAATCCTAGGCAACGGATACCTATTCTTGATTGTGACCTTGTTCAGTTGACGATAGTCAATGCACATTCGAAGTGTCCCATCTTTCTTTTTCACAAAAAGAACCGGTGCTCCCCACGGGGAGTGGCTTGGTCTAATGAAACCGTTATCCAAAAGCTCTTGCAATTGGGTTTTCAACTCGTTAAGTTCAGCGGGTGCCATCCGGTATGGCGGTATGGAGATTGGTTTGGTACCAGGCTCGACCTCGATCACAAATTCAATCTCTCTGTCAGGTGGAAGCCCCGGTAGGTCTTTAGGGAAGACATCCGGATACTTACAAACCACCCTCACATCATCGATGTTCGTTTCCTCTTTGGTTTTGTCAACCACGTATGCTAGATATGCGTGGCATCCCTTCCTCATCATATTTCTCGCTCTCACGGCGGATATGATACAACTATTTGATTTGCCGCGGTCCCCCTCGAAGCGTAGGGTGTCCCCCTGTGTGCCTTCGAGTTCCAACACCTTTGTGTAGCAATCTACCCTAGCATGATGCTTTTCTAGCCAATCCATCCCTAGGATTGCATCGAACTCCATCATACTCAGCGGTACGAAATCACACGTCAAGGTTTGGCCACCGATTTCCACCATACAAGATGGATAGTAATTGTTTCTTTCAACGTCTTCCCCTAGTGGGGTTGATACCACTAAGGTTTGTGTCATTGGTATTGATTGCATCTCTAAGCTCTCGGCAAACGCCTCACTCACGAATGAACGTTGCGCTCCGGTATCGATAAGGATTCGTGCATCCTTCCCGTTAATCTTTAGTGTCCCTACATTCATGAACCATGTAAGACATCTTTCCTACCCTCCCTACTCATTTATAGAAGGTTGCAATGTTCACACGCACGTTAGGGATCAAGAAGAGGCCTTAACGCCGCAAAACGATGCGAAAAAATCGGGTTTCGGCAATCTGGGTGCCAGGCACGGCGTGCCCGGGGTAGGCACGGTCGTGCCTGGCTCAGGAAAACGCCCTGGGGCTACTGCCTTGGAGGCACGATCGTGTCTGCCTTAGGCACGATCGTGTCTGCCTTAGGCACGATCGTGCCTGGGTTGGACAAATCCTGGGAACCACTGACTTGGAGGCACGATCGTGTCTGCCTTAGGCACGATCGTGCCTGGTTTGGAGAAAAACCCTGGGCAGCTACTGCCTTGTAGGCACGATCGTGTCTGCCTTAGGCACGATCGTGCCTGGGTTGGGATTATTCCTGGGCAGCTACTGACTTGGAGGCACGATCGTGTCTGCCTTAGGCACGATCGTGCCTGGGTCCCAGCCGCCTGAAGTTGCCCGAAATCCCCCGGTTCGACCCCAAAACCTCGTGCAATGATCCTAGCGATTAGTATCCTCAATTTATGGACTAATTAAGGATAAAACACTAGTATATGAGAGGCAATACCTGCAACGGAGTCCGGGTTAGCTTGAGCATCCGCCTCCGTCATCGCATAGACCCTAGCCTGGGTCCTCCCTTGGTTCACGGATGGCGCGTTGCTCGCACTTGCTCCCCCATGTCCCCGGCTTGCTTGAGAAGCCCCGGGTTGATTCCGCGTACCCGTCGGGCCACTACTTGGTCCCGATGTCCTTGCCCCACTCAATTGTGGACAATGTGCCTTCAAATGCCCGGCATCCCCGCATTGAAAACATCTAGGGGGGTCGCGACATTTACCGGAGTGGTTCTTCTTGCAATTGTTGCAACGAGCTACCACTGAGGTTTGTGACCTCGCGCCTTGCCCACTCGGGCCTTGGTTCCCCCTATATGGTGGCGGTGGTGCCCGGAAAGATCCTCCCCCGTGGTTCCCCTTTTTGTTGGAACCTTGGGAGCCATGACTCTCCCACTTTCTCTTTTTCGCCTCCTCGGCGTCTCTCTTCTTCCTTTCTTCCCATTGCTTCTCTCCTTTCAACCCTTGGTCAACCACTTGGGCAAACGTCATGTTAGGCAATTGTGTTGCCCTGTCACGTATCTCCAAGTCTAGAGCATCCCAGAAGTGGTTCACCATCCGGTTCTCGTCGCAAGCATACTCAGGTATGTAATCGGCAAGATCCCTGAACTTGTACTCAAGTTCCCTCACCGTCATGTTACCCCCTTGGGTTAGAAGGGTGTATTCCCTCACTTTCTTGTTCACCTCAAAGTCCGAGTAATATTGGGCAAAGAATTCCTGTCGGAAATCCTCCCAAGTGACAGTCTCGCCATATTTGCCTTTGGTCCCATCCCACCACTTGGATGCCATACCTTCAAGCAATCTCACCGCAACCCTTAGTTTATATTCGGGGGTGAGTTGCATGTCCAGGGCTGCCTCATTCAGCCGCTTAATCCGTTGTGCCGAAACGGAGATGTCACCCGTCCCATCGAACGGTTTGCACCCCAAGTCTCGTGCCTCTTTGATGTATTTGGAGATCCTTATGATTGGACCTCCATCACCCCGACCCCCATGTGGTTCAGTGTGGGCCCTAGAGTCGCCATGGCTCCTCCCTCTTGAAGCCCCGCCCGAAGGTTGCCCGGCCCGGCGCCTTCGGCGTTCCCTCCTCTCCTCACGCTCACGGTGGTACTGTTGAAGTAGTGCTTCAATCCGTGCTAAGGAGCCATTTTCCTCCTCATCACTTACATCGTCATCATCCCCTTCATAAGGGGTCTCAACCGGTTCAGTTTCCGGTCGATAGGTCGAGTCCTCATAGGACCAGTAGGTTTCACTTTCCGTGTCGACATGACCGTCACTCACGGTCTGTGATCGGCCTCCACGGCCAGCTCCTCTAGATGCCCTAGAGGTCCTTCGACTGCCCTGTCCAGTCTCCACTTGTACACGGCCAGTCGGGTTTCTCCTAGTAATCCTGCCACCACGGTCCATTTCTGAAAGAAATTTGGAAGGAGTCGTTAGACTCGTATCAAATGTCAATTGACGGATAGGTACTTAAGACACATTTTGGCTCGAGTCACCGCCATACCAATTGCTAAGGGTACCATCTTAACAATTAGAGACCTTGCAACCCAAGTACCAAAAGCTCTCCAAGTACAAAACTTCTATGCTCATGGTTTTCAAAATCTTTTCAAAAAGAGAATTTTGAGACTTCATTATGAAGTTTATGGACTAAGTCTCTGATACCAACTTAATTGTCACGCCCCGGACCTACCCGGACACGTCAACAACCCGCCGTACAATACGAATAGTCAACCGCAGTCCAACACATTCATATTATACAAGGCGTCATGAATATCATTCACACATATAACATCCATAAACAAACATAATAAGTAATTCATAACACAACGGAAAACATTGTTTAAAACAAAGGCCACACCGGGCTATTCATGAGCACGCAGGCTCTATAGTAAAATATCCATGAGCAAATTTATTAATGTTTCAAATAGAATGGAGGAAGCACGAACCAAGTCTTCTCTCCGAGGAATCACTCGATCAACGAGCACAGGATGCAAGCTCTAGCCTCAACCTGAAATGGTGGTGGGACGCCCCCGAAGGGGTCAGTACTCTATACGGCTATAAAGTACTGGTGTGGCAGGCATCTAATAGATATACAACAAGTATTTCAAACACAAGACCCTCAAGTAGGGTGATAGTACATTATGATTGTAACCCTAAGTTACCCCGTTTAAAAATATACTTACTTTATATAAAAGTCAAGTAGTCGGCCCGTGGGCCCGTTTTCATTTGGAAATCACCATTCCCAACCCCGTGGCTATAAGCCACGACAACTCCTAGAGTCCAACCCTAGTACATGACCTTGTATTCTAGAGCTCGGCTCTACTACATCACCATACAATTCATATACCCCGGGTCAATTTCCTTACCTTGCGTTCTAGAGCTCGGCTCTATTACATCACCACGCAAGTCCTAGAGCTCGGCTCTAGCTATACAATACATAGACTCCAAGTCTACACCTTACATGCATTCTAGAGCTCGGCTCTATTACATCACCATGCATTAAGGTCCAATTCTCAAGCAACCCTATGCCTAGAATTGACATATCATTAAACTACTTTGGGTCATCCTTAAAGACTTCCCATAACTTAACCTTAGTTCCAAACTAAGTTATTATATACACTTGAACTATATTCAAGTACCTTTCATACAATCCAATCCCTAGGATCAATTTAATCAACAAGTTCCAATAATCACTAACTAGTATTTCAATACTATTAAGATTATTGTTATCATACCATCATCCTCATTATTTGTAATTCTCTACATATTTATAATTATGTAGCAGCAACTTAAGTATTCAATCTCAATACACAAATATTCATTTATGTATCCACATAATTCATACATGAGCAAAATGCCCATTTTCACAAAATAGTTCATTTATACCCATTTAATCTCATATTATTCATACCTTCTCAAATCATTTCAAATTTCATTCCTTGGCAACTATATCAATATTTCATCAATATATAATCATCATAATCCATGAAAAATCATGATTTAAGCATTTAGGTAATCTCATGCTTAACCTACAAGTTGTAAGCAATTAGATGTCAATCCTCACCTTAATTGAGCTTTAAACTTTTCCTTCTTGATCCAATGGTCAAGGCTTTGGTCAAGGTTGATTTAGAACTGATTCCTTGCTTAGAAATGAGTGTTAAACAGCCTCCTCCAGCTGCCAGCTCCACTCCTAACCGAATGACACGAAAACAGTCCCTAGAACGGGCGTTTTCCGGTTAACTCGTTTCCTAGTTTTCCAAGATTTGCTCTAGGTTAGTATCTAACCTTTACATCAATAAAATAACTTCATAAGGACATATTATACACTTTTAGTAGTGTATAATAGTCCCACCAATCGTTCATATCATTTGGAAAATGAAAAGGAAGGTTTTGGATTCAAACTTACGTTGAATACAAAACTGTGTTCTGCGAGGTTGCGTTTTGTTCGGACAATCTGGAAGCCTTCCACTACTCCGATTGATGCAAACCAGACCTCCACGGATTCCTCGTCTTGAGAGCTTTCTTTTGGTACCTTATACGCCTTAATTGGACGAGTAAATCTCAAGTTATGGTTCGAACAGTAAGAGCTTCGCACTAAAGAAAGAACCTGCGGACTGCTCTCCTTCTTCCTTCCCTTTTGAGTTGTGTGGATACCTTTGCTCTCTTATCTCTTTTGGGGGGTCGAATGGGGGGTTGTGGGAGTATACAAGAGCTCTCAATCATGTTACCAAGGCATGTGGAGTGGTTCCCAATTGATCCCAATCATTTTGGGGTCCAAAATATCTACCAATACTTCCAAAAAAAAATGGGAAGATGGGTCCTATTGTTTTATCTTTTGTCAAAAGATGTCTTTTTGTACTCATCCTAATTTATTTAGAACAAGTCAACTTCCTACATCACATTATTGGTCTCCAATATGTGTAGGCTCATCTCAATAATTTACTTGATGGATATTATAGGAGGAAAATCCTACTCCCATTATTTAGCTCAATAATGCCAAAGATGGGGTTATAGGCATTTGTATTCTCCTTTAATCATTCTATCACTTATTTGACATTTGTCATACATATTATTGGACTACTAGCCGTGTGGGTCACTCCCGAGTGGATCCAGGACGCCATTCTCGAATACTTGCTATTTTTAGCAGGTTGGGCCCAAAATGAGTATTCGCCAGCCCGATACTAATATACGAGTTCGAACAGTATAATAATCGGTCATTAATTACGTAAAACATTAATCGTTTAACAAATGTTTGGAAATCAGAAATCCAATACATAAACTTAAAATTTTAAATCAAATTTTCAAGGACCTTCGGGAGCGGTGTCACACCCGAACTTTGTAAAAACGTTCAATTGAGTCCATTTGCAGGTTAATTGTCATCAACAAATGCCTGATTGGGCATCCACATGTGTGCCACATCAGCAAAATTATTGCTGATTGGGCTGCCACATGCGCCCCACGTTAGCGGGCGACTTGCTGACATAGCAAGTAACCTGCAAATGTACTCAATTGAACGTTTTTACAAAGTTCGGGGACTTGATTGATCATTTGAAAAGTACGAGGACCTAATTTCATATGTCTACTACTTTATCTCCATTCCATATTGAAATGTTTGATACATTTTTCTATTTGTAATATATTTTAATTTGTATTACATCGCTCTTTTTTGTTAAAATTTTCTTTTAAAATACTCTACTACTTTTACGTTTCCGACTTTTTAGATTCTTTTTTCACACCTTTTCACCATTTCTCCTGCTTTTGATATCACAATTCACAATCATTACTCCTACGTCTTTTCTCTCTTAAACATTGTGTCACCCTATTGTAGCAAATATCTCAAGACGAATTAACTTTGTACGCTTGTGAGAGATAAGACCCACATGCATGCCTATTGAACTGTGTGTACGTAGAAGACCGATAATGTACCTGTTTGTCGAATTGAGAGATAAGAAGATAAGACGGGGAGTGAATGGAAATGAATACCCAAACAGACGTGGATTAGAGGAATGGAAAGTGATACGCTTCTTTTTGAGTTGGATGGTCTCAAAGTAAGATTTGAAAGAGAACAACCTGGATGATCAATATTCATGTGGAAGATTGATCTATTTTCATTTTTTCTTTTTCACTTTTTCTTTTTCGATTTCTTTTTATCTTTTGTACTTTTTCTAATGTTGGCTATGTTTGGTAAATGGCTTATCGACCATTTTTTGACTGGTTTGACCGATTTCAGATGATTTGACTGGTTGACAAGCTAAAATTAGTGTGTGGTAAAATAGCTTTTTCAAATAAATTGTTCATCCAATCAGATGTTTATCTTTTTTTTGGATGAACGGTAAATATATATTATCCCCCAAAGAAAGTTTAACAAGTACATGTGTCCAAAATCTAAGCCCCCCACCCCCCAAAAGGGGGTGAGAGGATTTTCCATCTAGTCTAAATCAAGCAACCAGTCGCAACCAAAAAACTGGTGCTCAAAACTCAAAACAAATCATCAGTGCTGCTTATAGCGTGCACATAGATCAAAACAATCAGAAAGAAGTGATGCAAGAAGCACTCACTTATAAGTAGGCATGGACCCGGGCCGGGTCGGGCCCGGGCCGGGTCAAGGCCCGGTCGGGCCTCGGGTCCTATAAGGGTAGGCCCGGGACCGGCCCGGTCAATGACCGGTTCCGGTTCGGGCCGGGTCACCCGCCCGGGTCACGGGTCGGGCCACCCGCCGGGCCGGGCCGGGCCGGGCCGGGTCAATAAATTTTTTTTTTATATTAATTATATATTATACAAATTGCTATTAAAAACAAAGTTCAAGTGCATTTATTTGAAATAAGAACTACATTTGAGAATTGAGAAAAAAATAACAATACGAAATACATTTTGTAAATTGTAATGAATATCAATTGGGATTTCCGCCACCGTTGGTTGTTGTTTTCCCTTTGTCACAGAACTTCATATGTTTTATTGGCATCCCGTATCCGTATGAACGCCCCAAGCAACAGTCTTTCTTGCACCACCTGCAAGTTGCCCACCACAGTCCGGTCTTCGGGTCCTTCCACTTGTCAAAATTGCTTTGCATAAGAGAAGATGTACTTTCCATATTTAAAATGGTATATGTATAACACTATAAGTAATTAAGTAGGAATGTAGGATAATAAGAGAAGATAAAGATGGAGAAGAGTTTGAGAAGAATTGGAGAAAAGGTGTAGAAAAATGTTAGAAAATAGATGTATTTATAGGTGTTTTTGAACCCCACTCCCCACACCACCACCCCCGGGACCCCCCTGCCCCCCACCCATAGCCCCAACGGCTATATAGCCGTTTGGGAGCTTTGAATTTTTTTTTTTTTTTAAGTTATACACATATTGTAAAATAAATTAATTAATTTAATGAATTAAGTAAAACTAAAACAAATGTTACAAAATAGGTGTATAAGTATTTAAACAAATTACATATTCTAAATGTATTTTTAATTTAAAAACCGGCTTTATATTTTAGAAAAATAATTTTAAGTCGTTAGATTGTAACCAATTAATTAATTTGAGAAGTGCTACATATGAAAAAGTGAACACATATTTATTTGAAATATGAAGTACAAGTTTACAAATTAATTTGAACTACAACTACAAATTTACAATTTTGAAATATGAAGTACAAGTTTACAATTTTGAAATATGAAGTACAAGTATAAATAAATTTGACAAGTGCTATAAAATACATTTTGTACTAAATTCTAAAATACTAATCAATCGGAATCTCCGGCATAGGTAGAGCCACCATCGGTTGTTGAGTCATCCATAAAATCTTGGGAGGGGGTGATGCTCAATTCTTGAGTTCTACGTGCGGCCTTCAACCAATCGTGGTAGCATATAAGCGTCTCAAGAGACTCCGCGCTCAATCTCGATCTAGATGCCGTTAGGACGTTGCCGGCCGAACTAAATTCTTGTTCCACAGCAACTGTTGAAACCGGCATTGATAGTACTTGCTTAGCCATCCGTGCTAAAATCGGGAACGTTCTTTCTTTTGACTTCCACCAGTCTAGAACGTCGAAGTCATCATTTTCTTCAAAATCAACTTCATATGTTAAATACAAAGTAATCTCATTCAATGCGCTTTGTTCAGTGACGTGAGTTGTTTTAGTTTTTTTCATAAGATTGCCAAATGCAGATTTAAAAATCGATTTTCCTTTAGATGAAGATGTTCGTGGCGGGGGAGGGGGAGCGTTGCCATATTGTGAACGAAACTCATTAAATAAGGCATAAAATAAAGTACTAACCTCGTTGTATTCCGTTTTCGGATCTATGGGGTTATCCTCATACATTGGAAATTCACCGAAAAACGCAAGATAATAGAAGTTGAAACAACTTTCCAAATTAGCAAGTCTATAACGAGGATCGAGAATAAATGCAATACCATAAATATGGGGAATATGCGCATAATATTTTAAAAACTTTTCCTTCATATAATCACAAAAATAATGAACGAAAACGGCATTTTGAAATTCTTTAAAAGCATCGGCGAGATTAACAGCTTGTGGAATAAATTGGTTTGCGGTAGGTTTATAAACATGACTAAAAGTTTCAGTAGCATTAAAAAAATATATCAAAACATTACAAATTTTTTCGCAAGTGTCGATCTCAGCCGCGTTTATAATATAGTTATCATGTTCTTTTAAAAAAGCAGGAAAATGTTCTTTATATCTAAGAACAACTTTAAGTAATTTATAAGTACTATTCCAACGAATACTCAAATCTTTAGGAAAAGCAACATATCTCACACCTCTTTCAGTCAAATAACTTTGCCATTTTAATCTAAGTTGACCATTACCCCAAATACGTCTAACCCCCCCCCCCCCCCCCTTTATTACCTCCATGGAATCTCCTAACGCTTTTAAACCGTCTTGCACACATAAATTTATAACATGACATGCACACCGTTGATGAAAAAATCTACCCATCAAAGAATTGGCACCACACAACTCACGCAATCTAGGTATAGCAGCAGTATTATTAGTAGCATTATCGAAACCAATAGCAAACACCTTATCAATCAAATTATACTCAATTAAAATACGCTCAATCAAAATATAAATATGTTCAGCGGTGTGACGATCATTAAATTCACGAAAAGCAAGAACACGTTTATGCATATTCCAATCCTCATCAATATAATGTGCAGTCAGACCCAAATAATATAAATGATGAAAATCATCCTCCCATATGTCAGAACAAATAGTAACACGCCCATCAAAGTTTGCAAAAAAATTTTGTAACCTTTCCTTTTCCGCATTATAAAGCCTTATTATTTCTTTCTTAACAGTTTTGCGACTATAATTTCTAAATTGAGGATTTAAACTACCTTGTGCATAATCTCTTAAAGCAAGACTTTCAGAAAACAAATAAGGCAAATTTTCTTCACAAATTAAGTTAGCCATACCAGTCAAATTTTGTGCATCATTGTAGGCGAAATTACCAAAAGGTTGAGAATTCGCAAACCTCGATATTTGAGTTTGCTTCCCCGTTCCGCCGCCTAATTTTGCGTACTCCACGGGGTGCTTTGACTTAAGATGCCTTGCGGCGGATCCGTATCCGCCGGAGGTTCCCAAACTATAATTGTTGTTGCACCACTTGCAAGTTGCGTGCCAATAGCCAGTTTGTGGGTCCTTCCATTTATCAAAATTATTTTGCATTAATTCAGACT